ACAACAACCCTGTGAGGTGGAATTGGGCTGAGACAGGGGGACTGGCCCAAAGTCACCCAGCTGACTTTCATGGTTAGGCAGGACTAGAACTCGCCGTCTCCTGGTGATTGGCCCAGAGTCACCCAGCCAGCTTTATGCCTAAGGTGGGACTAGAACTCATCAACTCCTGGTGATTGGTACAAAGTCACCCAGCAGGTTTGTATTGCCTAAGGCAAGACTAGAACTCACCGTCTCCTGGTGATTGGCCTGAAGTCACCTAGCCAGTTTTCATGCTTTAAAGGTAGAACTAGAACTCACCGTCTCCTGGTGATTGGCCCGAAGTCACCTAGCTGGCTTTCATGGCTAAGGTGGGACTAGAACTCCCCGTCTCCTGGTGATTGGCCCAAAATCACCCAGCCAGCTTTATGCCTAAGGTGCGACTGGAACTCGCCAACTCCTGGTGATTGGCCCAAAGTCGCCCAGCTGGTTTTTATGCCTAAGGCAGGACTAGAATTCACGTCTCCCGCTTTCCAGCCTGGTGCGTTCACCACTAGACCAAACTGGCACCTTCGTAATGCCTCCCTCTGGATTGTTTGCACGGGGGCCCAACCGCCTGCTACTTTTAAGTCAGATAGATCTCTCTTGGATAAATTCAATCCTTAAAGGGCTAGGATCATTCTTTGCCACCTCTGGGTATACCCTGGCACATGTGCGCGCGGGGCCGTCTACAGAACCAGCAGCTGCCAAAGATGTTTCTGCTTTTATCTATGCTTGCTTGTAAGAAAAGACCCGCGAATTCCCTCCCGAAGATGTGTGGTCTGTGCACAGGTTGCTAAATAAGCAGGTAACCTAATGCCCGCATGCCACGGATTTCGCGTCACGCACTCAAAGCTGCCTCCGAGCACCGCCGTCCGCCAGCGAAGAGCAGGTTCTTATTCAAGATCCTGCTCGCCTTCCCTCGTAAAACCGAGACAATAAATCCCAACCAGAGAAATGCAAACATGTGCCAACTCGTGTCAGGGGGCGCTGAAATGAAATATAGACATCCAGAAGGCCAGGCTCAGTTGGCAAAGAACCTTTTAAACCTTGGCCTGGCATCCTTTGGTGCCCACCGTTAATATTGCCCTCCTCTTAACGTGCGCGAGAAGCAACGTTTTTACGGCTGTGGAAAAGATGGTGTGATTCCCAATTTTGTTTTTGTTTTTTTAAAATAGCATGGACATTTTGGAGCATGTTTTGACGTTTATGTGAATGAGAGAATGGATCTACCTGCATGACTAGAATTAAACAAGCCAACTTGTTCTTTTGCAGAGCTGTACAAAATCAGGGTTGAGTTTAGGGCGCCATTAATTTCTGGGAGGCGTAGATAACTTACAGTCTTGTGGTCACGTGATCAAAATTCAGACCAGTGATGGGTTTCGAAATTTTTTACTACCGGTTCTGTGGGCGTGGCTTGGTGGGCGTGGCATGACTTGGTGGGCGTGGCAGGGGAAGGTTACTGAAAAATCCCCATTTCTTCCCGATCAGCTGGGACTCGGGAGGCAGAGACTAGATGGGGGCCAGTCAGAATTTTTACTACCAGTTCTCTGAACTACTCAAAATTTCCGCTACCGGTTCTCCAGAACTGGTCAGAACCTGCTGAAACCCACCTCTGATTCAGACACTTGGCAACTGGCATGTACTTATGACGGTTGTGGTGTCCCGGATCACGTGATCAACTTTTTGCGACCTTTTGACCAAGGAAGCCAACGGGGAACCCAGATTCACTTAACGACCATGTCACTAACTTAGCAGCTGCACAGTACCTCACTCAACAACTGTGGCAGGGAATTTTGTAAAACTGGGAGAAAGTCGCTTAACGACCGCCTTGCTTTGCAATGGAAAATGTGGCCAAAAGTCTAGGAAGACCTAGGGGGTGGAAAAACAGAAAATACACCCTTAATTTACGATATGTTTGCAAAATAGTTGATGGTGCCACCAAATCATCACCAAAGAGAGAGTCAAGCTATTCTCCGAAGCACTTGAGGGGGGCAGGACAAGAAGCAACGGGTGGAAACTCATCAAGGAGAGAAGCAATTTAGAACTAAGGAGGAATTTCCTGACAGTCAGAATAATTAATTAGTGGAACAACTTGCCTGCAGAAGCTGTGAATGCTCCAACACTGGAAGTTTTTAAGAAGATGTTGAGTAACCATTTGTCTGAAGTGGTGTAGGGTTTCCTGCCTAAGCAGGGGTTGGACTAGAAGACCTCCAAGGTCCCTTCCAACTCTGTTATTCTATTGTTCTATTGAATTGGAAAAGTCTTATTTTGCAGAGGTTTTTTGAATGTATGTGGAGAGAGTCTCAAAGGCGCCAAGGAGTTGTGACCCCTTGCCTTGGGGGCAGAGAGAAAAAAGACATTTAAGGCTTCGTCCACCTCTTCTAAATGCATGTGGGCACCATATTTTTTGGATATACTTCTCCACACACACACAAAAGCCATAATCCAGATCCTAGAAAGTTTGGTCACCAAGGGAAAGTAGAGAGCATGAGGGCGGCCTACCTTGAAGGCAAGAAGCTGGAGAGGTGGAAAAAAAGGTTCAGATGAGGCCCACCATGGGACATGGCCTTCACCCAGAAGTTCCCTTAGATAGCCAGTTGAAGCTGCAAAAGGAACATCAGCTCGGCCCAGATGTCCTTCTTAATTCATCAGAGATGAATCCAAGGGCTCAGAAGGCTTTATTCATTTCCGCATGGCCTATATGGTATATTTTCTGAAGAAGCTGAGCTTCTCCGAAGCAAAGAAATCATCTTGAGGGTTTGGCTGTCCTCCATCAGTTCTCCTGAAAGACGATGGATGAGAAGTTGACCCTTCTGTCCGAGGAGAACTTTGGAGAAAGGCTTTTGAGGGGAAGTGAGGTTCCATGCGTGACAATGTGGTGGAGATGGTTGTCCTATTTTTTCAAGGCACGATTATTTCCTCAAGTTTCCCTTTAGTAGAAGATCTCAAGAAGGAACTGTTCCCATTGAGAACATGCTGCTTCTGTCCAGGCCACGGGTCTGCAACATTAAATACTCTAAGAGTGATTTAGACCTGTTTCCCACAGAAAAGAAAACACCGGGAGCCACAAAATCTGGATGGGCGTGGCCATCTCGATGTCACTCACTTATACCAGTCACATG